TATAAGGAAGAACTGGATTTCATAAAACAGGCATCTAGGAGATTAAAATTTCTATTTAAACTTTACACATTAGAATACACCAATGTGAAGACAGAACAAGGAACATAGAAGGTAGGTTTGTGGTTAGTGATCATCAAATGAAAGACTACTTAAAAATAGCAAGGGACCATGAAAAATCAATCTAACAGTTGCTAGATGATGTAAAGAGGACTAATATAAGATTGACTGAAATCAATAAAAAATCAGAAGATAGCAGAAAGGGCATTAAAAAAAAATCTTGTAACAGAAGTAATGGCAAAAAATTTCCCAAGTGTGGAAAAAGAGTATCTATAGTGTTCTGCATCACCAAAACAGAATACAAATTCTTCTCAGCTGCACATGGGACTTTCTTCAAAATAGACTATATACTAGCTCATAGAATATGCTTAAATAACTGCAAAGGAAATGAAATTATCCTATGAATATTATCAGATCATAGTTCAATAAAATTAGAAATCTATGGCAAGCAAAACCACAAAAACATATGGAAACTAAATAACATTGCTCTAAACAACCAATGGATCACAGCTAAAATTAAAGAAATTAGACAGTTTCTATAATTAAATGGTAATGCCAGTACAACATACTAAACCTTATGGGATAAGTAAAAGCAGTTTTATAAGGAAATTTAGAGCAGTGAATTATTAGTAGAAAAGATATAATGCACTACTCCTAAACCTCTTTTAATGAAATTGAAAGGGAAACAATACCCTTAAACTCATTCCTGGAAACACACACTATTCTGATACCAAAACTGAGAAGGATTCAACCAAAACACAGTACTACAGACAAATCTCCTAAAGAAACACATATGCAAAAATCCTCAATAACATATAGGCAAGCAGAAAATAGCAAGTCATCAAGAAAATTATACACCACTACCAAGTAGGATTCATTCCAGGGATGCAGGGATGCTTCAACATAGACAAATCAATAAATGCAATACTATCTCAATAGATATAGATAAAGTGTTTGATGGAGTCCAATGCTCATCCCTAATAATAAAAAAAACTACAGAAAACTGGAGTACATGGTCTTTACCTCAATCTGATGAAAGCTATCTATGACAAACCAATAGCCAATATAATGTTCAAAAATGAAACTTTTCACTCTAAAATCAGGAACAAAACAAAGATGTCCACTATCACCACTCTTGTTCAATACAGTTTTGGAAACATTAGCCAGAGTAATTAGTTAAGACATAGAAATAAAAGAAATGAAGACAGGAAAGAAAGATATTAAATTACCAGTGTTTGCAAATGATATGATACTTGTTATGGTTTGTGTCTAAATGTCCCCCCAAAGCCTCATGCAGCCACGGAGGCAGGCTTCTAGAGTTGGTGAATGACTCATGGTCCAATGCTGGGATTATGGATGTGAGTGCTACACCCAAGTGGGTATGGCTTACATACAATATAAGGGACAGAAAGACCTTTCTCTGTGTTTCTCTTCTTGCTCTTGATTGCTTTTGCTGTTTTCTGCTGCCATGAACTACTGCCCTCTGCTATGTGCCACTCTTCCTTGGAGTCAGCTGATTATGGACCGAAACCTACATAAACTGTCACCTAAATAAACCTTTCCTTCCTTCATTTTGGGTGTCAGGTATTTTCTCTCAGTAATGACAAAAAAAAAATAACCAAGACAATTCTCTATATGGATGACCCCAAAACTCCACCAACGACTTTAAAATTTAATAACCAAATTCTGAAGCATAGCAGGATACAAAGTCAACACTGAAAAAAAATCAATGGAATTCTTGTACACAAATAAACTCACTGAGAAAGCAATTAGGGAAACAACACCTTTCATCCAGCATAAAAAAAATGAAATACTTAAGAATCAGCCTAACAAAGAAAGTTAAAAATCTTTCATTCAAAACTACATTACTCTGAAAGAGTGATCAAAGAGGCTATCAGAAAGTAAAGATTTCCCTTTCTTTCTTTTCTAGACATCAGTGCTATGTCTGAAAAACAGCTGGTAAAAAAAACCAACAAACAAAAACTTTTCCCCATTCAGCCACCTTATCTTTTGACAAGGGGGCCAAAAACCTTCACTGGAAGAAAAACACTCTTTTAACAAATATTGCTTGGAAAACTGGCTTTCCAAATGCCAAAGACTAAATCTAGATCCATGTCTCTCACCATGCATTAAACTAAAGTTGAAATGGATCAAAGATCTAAATATTAAAACAGAAACACTAAATTTGCTAGCAGATAGAATAGGTAAACTCTTAAAGTCAGAGGTATAGGCAAATATTTTATGATTAAGACCCAATGAAAAATGGTATGTGAAATGAATAGATGTGTCAGATTGAAAAAGAAATAATGGCAAATAAATGTATAAAAAATGTTCAATATTGCTGATCACTCAAGAAATGAAAATTAAAACAACACTGAAATTCCTTCTTACTCCTGAAACAATGGCTGTCATCAAGAAATCAACCAATAATAAATGCTGCAGGGATAAAGAAACTCTTCTGTACTCTTGTGGGGATTGTAAATTAGTACAATCACCATAGAAATCATTACAGAGATTCCTCGAAAAGCTACAACTACATGTTCTATTTGACTTAGTTATTTCCCTTCTTGGTATCTTCTCAAAGGAATTAAAAGCATCATACCTCATTGATATATGCATATCCATGTACAGCAGCACAACTTGTAATAGCTGAATGTTGGAAACAGCTTAGATGCTCATCAATGGATGAATGGATAAATAAAATGTGGGTTTAATCTTCAATGAATACTATGCTGCCATCAACGATAAACTTGAAGCATTTCTAGGTAAATGGGTGCACCTCAAGACCACACTTTTAAGTGACAACAAGGTGATATACAAGTTTAAGTATCACTTTCTCTTGTGTGAGAAACTCAAAGGATAAATAAGCAGTAAAATGGAACACAGGGAAGATTGGGAAATAGGAAAAACATATTCACATGGGAAAGTGAACAAAGGGAGAGAGGGGGAAGGAAAGCAATGGAAAAGGAAAAAAGAATAAAAGATAAAAATGGAAACAAAGCTTTGGTAAGTTAGGAGATGAAGAATTGAAGGGACAGGACGATAATGGGGAAAAAGGAAGAATCAAAATATATTATGTATAGGCACAAATTCCCTATAATCAGTATGATTAGTATGAATATCAAAAGAGTACAAAAATTAATTTTAAAAAGATGGTGATTGCTAAAGGAAAAAAAAACAAATTAATTTTAGGTACATTAATGGAGGAGAAGTGAGGGAAAAGATAAGAAAAACAAACTCAACCATGAAATGATAATTGCTGAAGCTGAGAGACAGGCATACTCTTCCCCTTTTTAGTGATTTTAAAATAGGGTCTCAATATATAGCTCAGGCTGACTTTTAATTCATTTTGCAGCCAAAGTAGGCCTTGAACTCTGGATATCAACCTGTCTCAGCTTCTCAACTGCTGGGCTTATTAAATGTGTGCTGCAATCATGCCCAGCTTCCTTTTCAATAGTTGACAAAGTAAAATCAAATACATATATACATAATACTTATGTGAAAATACAAAAAAGGATAATCAGTAGGTATTATTTTACAATATCATATGACAATGGTTTCTTATGGGTCAAAATAAGGAGAATGGGAATAGAAAATATATCAATAAACAAAATAAGTGCTTTTCATGGACTAGTGATGATAGTGTGCAATCAACTGAGAGGTAGGATTAACTATATTTTGTCTCTATGAAAATGTTAATTACAATAAAAAGTTTTTTTAACCAGAAGGATCTGATTTAGACTATGGTGATGATGGATGATAAAAATAATTAACTAATCCTTGCATTTCAGAAAACAAATAGCTTTTTCAAGTAACTAACTTTCCATATGTAACTATGGAAATGAATCAGAACCAAGTATCATTTATCTTTTAATAGAAGTAATTCTAATAACAATATGCATCAGACAATCATTAAGCTGCTAATCATAAATTAAGGAGAAAAACAGACTCTATGAACTTGTACTCTAAACAAATAAAGAAAATCAGAACAAAGGCTGTAAACTGTTTTACTTGGTTCATATGGCAGCAAAACTAGATTTCCCAAGGTAAAATTTTATGCTGTTAGTGAAAAATGTATCCTTTTGAAGTTGAAAGTTTTGGTTTTTTTTGAAAACAATATTGTAAGGTTCAGCTTAATGGTCTCCATTCCCACTTGGCAAGACTTGCCTGGCAAGGAGAACCCCATTTACAGGTCACATCCTCTGTAGGCTTTCATTGTCCCCATCTGACAAACAGTATTGTTTAAAATATCCTTTTATCCTCAAACTTCACTTATAATTTACCAAAACATAATTAGAAATTTATAGTCACAGGACTGTAAGTAGTCAAGGAAGGGATGAAGAGAGCATGCTGACAGGATAGGCAAGATTAAGAGAAACCCTTCAAAAAGCATGAAATAATAAAGCTTGGTATTTAAAGGTAGTAGGTTTTGTGGAATAGTAAAGAAGGTCTTTCCATGCTTAAAGGAACTCCTTCCATATATGAGAAAGAAATTATAGTGAATGATACCAGCTATTTATATATTTTTTATCTTTTTATTTTTAGCTCAGAGGCAAAAGAGCCTGGCTAGCAAGCATGAGGTTGTTGAATTTGATCCCTGGTATTAAAAAATAAATAAATAAAAAAATTAAAGATACTGTTTTTTTCATTACAGTCTAGCAAATTGTGCTTAGAAGTTTGGTAAGTATACATCCTCATTCTTTCAGTTGCTTTGCCCTTCCATAATAATGCATCCTTTTTTAGTCAACTATATGTTGTAAAGGAAACATAATAGTCTCTTGTCCATATGGTATTAAGATACAAGTTTTTGTTTCAATATCAAGGAATGTGGTGAGGAGATCATTTAGGAACTACAACGAAAATAAGCAAATATAGCAAGACTAATTATAATAAGGAAAACTATTCACTCAAATAAAATTATTTGAGACCATAGTTTTATTTACCTTTACTGTCTAATTTCTAAAGATCTTGTGTGTAAACCATAAAGCCTTCAGAATATCCTTCACAAGTGCAGAAATTGTCATCGCCAATGTTCATCTGAAAGAGAAACACAGAAAATGTGAATCTATACTACTGTTTCACACTTATTTTAAATACAATAGAAAATCTTGAACTTATGACTTATGAATGCATAGTACAGAACAGTGACAGCGAAGTTTTTAGTTTTCCAAGACACAAACAGCCCTCTGTGATATGTGTGCCATAGGTTCACCACTACTGTTACAGAACATACTTTGTATAAATAGGAAGGAATAATTTTGAGATTTCCTCTTTGGCAAAATCAGAAAGTTCTGTTGAACATAGGTTTTAAATCCATGTCATAAAACATTTTTTATTGTGCTAATACTACCTATCTTTCTATTAAAAATTCCAATAAATAATTTTAAAAACACTGATTCTGATGTCCTATATGAACATAGCCTCAACCTAGAAAATACTTCTGTTCAAAATCATCACAATATTACATTTTTAACTACATCTGAATTACTAGAAGAGCCACAAATCAAAGAAACCAACAAGTTCAATATTATATTATCATAAAAAAATAAAAATTCTATTTCTTATTTTTCTTAAAAGTCTGAACCATTACTTTACATCAATTTAGGAAAACTTACTCCCTTTTAAGAGAGAATGCTGTCTGATTTCTGACAATGCAGCTTAGGAAACAGGATTTGGATATTGGACTCTATAATTTTAGCATATGGTTTTGGGTATTACAGATTCTCAAAGCAAATATGAATGATTTTTTAGACTAGCAATGTCATTGTTCCTTTGGTTACTAGTGTAGATCTCTGTTTCCTAGGTGAAACTGTACATTAGAAGTTTTTTAAAAAAAAATTAAGACTTTGTGAACTCAGCTATTCAGAACTCATTATTATGAAGTAGACCAGGACCTAGATATTTTTAAGGATGAATATCTATTCTTCCAGTTGTGAAACAATCTCTCATCAAATATTTGAGCGTTTCTACATATTAATAATAAGACATTAATAATAAGACCAAAAAAACATGTGAATACTGAGATATATATTTGCTAATTTTACTAATTATAAAATGACTTTAAAGATTTCACGACATCAACATATACACAAACATTCCTCAGCAACAATGCAATATTTTATATCTATGGATTCAAGCAAGATGTAATTGTTGGTTACAAGTAATCTCAAACTATAATGTACTTAATGACCAAATGCTTTAAAATGTAGAACTCCAAGAGTCAAGCTCCGATTCTGATTCAGAAGAAGTAGGCTTAAGTCATAGATTGGCCAGTTTTTATAGGCATTTTAGGCAACTATAAAGCAGGTCTACCATTTCTGTTAAACAAATGTTTTAAGCATTTATGAACTAGCTATTACTAGAATGTCATTATATCACTTGCAAAAATAATTTTTCAGTTTTTTCTAAAACTATATTTCCAATTTTATAAGATAATCCCAAAACCTATTGGTTTAAAATTAAATTTTGTACATATTATAGGAATGCTGCAATAGTACAAAAAATTAAGATGTTTTACAAACTTTGCTATACTCCTAAGTAGATTTTGCAGACAGAGAAACAATAAAATATTTGTGACAAAAGCAGGAAAATTAGGTTATATTCTATAATAAAAAACTTCAATTGAAACCTCATATATAATTATTGTGTTATAATTTAAATTTTTTGAAACTAATTCAGTGTAGCTGAGAACTGGGGCATATGGAAGCACTTTTACAGCAACATTTTGTCTGCTTAAATATAAAATCAACATTTGATAAAGAAAAAGTCTTGAATTATTTCCCTTCAGAACATACACATACCAACAGAACCACTAAAAAAAACATTAAATAGGCTGTCAACATTTTAGTTTTGAAAAACCTTATAAGCAGGTACAGAAATACTTTGCAATAAAAATAATGTATTCATACACACATATCCTTTAATATTCCTTCTGGAAAAGAAAACTCTAAAAAACACAGGCAGTATCTGTGATTTTGTTATACACGCAACAATAATAGTGACCTCAGTAACTACTAAATTTAATAAAAGCTATTTCTTTAGCTCTTATCATCCTTACCTAGTTTGGAAGTGCTACTATAACTTTTTCTTTTTACTCATAAATGGACTATAAACGATCTCAGATTAAAGATTAACCTACTGTTTATGATTGATATTTTTCCCTACATATTTTATTGATTTTTTTTTTTTTGGGTACTGGCGATCAAACTTATGACCTCACACTTGCCATGTAGGTGCTTATGCTGCTGAGCTAAATCCCCAGCTTCCTACATATTTTAATAAGAATCAATGACTGTAAATCATACACAATACTGTTGGTCAAAATAATTCGATATCAGAGTATTTTAATGATTAAAAATAGTTTCTGTTAACATTTTTAAGTATCATCAATATTTCATATAAACTAAAACTAGTGGCTTTTTAATTCAGCATTACTAGTCCAACATATATTGAGTTCTAAATTCTAAGTAACATTTAACAATTCTAAGAAGTATTATCATTTACATTTTATAATTAAGGAAACTGAGGAACAGGGAGATTAAATTGCTTGACTTAGGTTCTATGGCTAATTATTGTCTGAATTGCATTTCAGTTAGGTATAGTAATTCTCGAAAGTCCTGCATTGCAAATTTTCAACAGCTCTAGAAGCTCAATTGTAACATTTTTGTTTTAATTTCTGTTCTATACTCCCCATCCTTTTACAACATCTTTCAAGTTTTCATCTGCAAAGGAAATACCAAATTTTCTTCTTTACAAAAAAGTTCATTTCTAGGATCTATTTACTACTTACATAGTCTAAACTCGGTGCAACTTAAATAATAATTCTGTAATACCAGAGGTTTATTTTAAAACCTTAGTCTTGCTTTTGAATGCAGTGTTCTATATGAAAGTTTCTTGCCTTAGTAGAAATAATGGAGGTGGTCTAACGTGGCAGAAGGCCAAAGTGGGAATGCCTACCACTTCCTGCTTCTTCCTCAGCCTTAATTGTAACTCCCCTTCATGTTTGCACACCAAAAAAGTTCCAGTCAGTTCCTTACAAGCCATCAATGCCCGCCCTAAGCACCACGCCTGGGCAAAAGTTTCATGTATATCCCATGCCCCACGTTCCGGCCAGAGAAAGCCAGGCCGCCAGCAGTCATAGACTTTTCTCCAAGTCCTTGGAATAAAGGCTATTTTTACTTTATATTCTCTCTTTCATTGCGCAGAAAACTCTTTCACTACATACCTAATTGCATAATGATCCATTAAATATGGTTTAATATTAAGACATGCATTTGTGGTTTTAGCATGTTTTCAATCATCTTACAAAAATGTGCCTTCCTAAATTATTACTTTACTGTCAATTTTAAAATGTGGTAAAACATAAAGGAAGAATTCATGTTTTCTAATTTTCCTGAGTTACTGGATTGTATCTATACAAACTTTCATAGGTGAATGTTTTTACAGCTTAGTAAGTATGCAACTGTTACAGCCTTCAAAATTCCATTTATTTTTGATCTAATAAGTGACTTTAAAAAATTCTAAGTTAAAAATTTCATATATGGTTGAATGGAAGCAGATGATAATAATAAAGTAATAAAATAAAATCTGTTTTATTTCAAGAAAAATCAAACAATTAAAAATATTTTAACTTACATTTGCTTTTTACAAAGAGCATGAATTTCTTCAGCATAACCAAAGCTCTAATAATGCAATCCATGAAAGTTTTCTTTCTAAATTTCTTAAAACAGAATAATTTTAATTTGAGCATAACTCAAACCATTGCTTACTACCATTAAAACCATCAGTATGCTTATTTCAAATTAGTTTTTCTATGGACTCTGAACTACTTTTCATGGCAAAAGTACAACTATTATATTTATGTGACAAAGCAAAGAAGAGTCCTAGTTAAGTGTGCTCAAGTCACTTTAAAAAACAAAGATCTAAAGATAATTAACTTTAAGCCCCTTCTACCAAATAAGCCTTGATTTTAGTCCTCTTTAACTTGTTTAGATGGTCTGATTGCAGTAAAAAGCTATATTTAAAGTACTAAGAAATTAAAGGTATATGCGAATTGATACATCAGGCTGTTCAAAGTAACAGTATATTAAATATTTTCTTTAGAGAAAGAAAAACATATGTAATATATTTTTCTTTTCACATAAGCATTTTTGAAAATGTTTATCAACTCTGGACAGAGTAGCTCTTCAGCTGGAATAAACAATTTGCTTTTGATAGCCCGCCTTTATTCTATTCTAATAAAGCCCACTATTTAATCAATAGGGAATACTATTGATTTTTGTGTCAAGTCATATGAAACACAACTCTGAGATTTGTCAGAGAGAAACAATGCTTTGTTAAATATAGTAGCAAGAATGTGCACATTAACATTCTGGCAAGCCAGCTGTGATGGCATATGCATGTAGAGGCAGAGGAAGGAAGATTGCTATAAGTTTGAAGCCAACCTGGACTATGTAGTGAGCTCAAGGCCAGCCTGCACTACAAAGACCAGTAAATGGGCTTGTAGTTCAGTTAGTCCTTTATTTCTACGTAGCCTTTCCCTGGTCTCAAAAATAAGTTCCTTAAAAATCATTTTGGATCGAGAATTCAAGGCTCAGAAATGAACACACTGCTGAGAAAAAGAAATGGGATACTGAGGTCATATGAACATTAAAGTCTATGTTAATAGGTTTATGATCACTAAAACCAAAAATTTAACAAAAGGATTGCTAACTAAAGACAGGCTCAGTGACAATTTACACATCTTTAGATAATAATTTCGATTTATTCTTTCATGCTTACTAGAATCTTTTAAGAATTTCCTCTGGTACCCTTAAAAGTATATAAACAAGATTATGTTATGTAGGGGCTGGAGGTTTAGCTCAGCGGCATAAGTGCCTGCCTTGCAAGCAGGCAGTCGTGAGTTCAATCCCTGGTACCGATAAAAAGGAAAAAGACAAAAAAATAAAAAATTTTTAAAAAAAGATTGTTATGTTGTCTTCTTCAAAGTTTCTGGTTTTTTGTCACTCTAAGGTCTCTCTCCTGTGATTTTAGTAGCA